ACCGATTGAGTCGAACTACAAGCAGCCTGATTCCTTGAGTTGAGGGATATGTAGGCAGAATCGATGTCGAAAACTCAGCTGTATTCCATCATTCGCTCTTAAATCTTATTCTCGAGCATTCTGATCTCTTCATAATTTGATATCGGAATAACTTTTGAATTCTTTCAAAATCATACGTCAAATCAAGCGTATCGAACTACAAGTGGCCTGAATTCTCATTAGCCTGAGATATGTAGAAAATCCATTTTCGAGGTTCGGCCATAATTCTTAAAATCCGTACCAAATCCCTTCCTAAAGACGAAGATGTGGTCGGTCAAAATCGGATTAGTCAATTTCATTTTCCTCGAATTTCTTGCATCAATCCAAGTAAAATGAGGGACAGTTGTTGACACCCAATTTTGGACCTCCACAATATATATTAATCATCGAGCTTCTTCCATTTTAGACGATCTAAAATAATTAGTTTTATAAATTTCGAAAATAGTTTGCGAGTTATTTTAAATAAATTATGTCACTTATTATAACTTTTAGACAATACTTATATTTTACATGTCTATATATATAATTGATATATTTTAGGAACATTCGAAAATTGTCTCAAAAATATTTAGTTTTACTTAAAGATTTGGTTAACTAGTTTAGTTATAAGATAGCTTATATTTTTGAAATAGTTAATTTATAATTAAGTTAATTATTTTATTTCGTTAAGATTAAGAAACTCAATAATTAATCAATATTATTCGTCTTATTTAACTCTGGGCCAAATTTGCAATTTCAATCTAACATTTTTTCTTACCTCACCTTAAACCCACTTGAGACTAAACTTGGGCCTTATCCAATATCAGCAGCCCATCATTTTTATTTTTTTTACCTTAGCAACAGCCCACATTCTCATTCCAATTCCCAGCCCAACACATTCAACAAACAACAACAACACAATACCAAAAGCAACCCCTACACTGTTCTTCTTCTCCAGCAAGCGCGTGCAAAACGACCAGAAACGTACAGCAGCAGCCCAGACGCGTCGACACACGCAACAACTGGACAGAGCACGCGTCCTACCCCTTTCCTCTTCCGGAATGGGGCGATTTTTGCAGGAAAAAGTGTTTAGCCGGAATGGTGAAAGAATTTTGAATTCAAAATTTTGAAATAGGCTTTTGAATCCGAATTTTCACCCTTTTTCCCCCCATTCCAAACCCTAATCCTTGTCCATAAGTAGCCCTTTCTCCATTCACTTTGAGGGGGGATTTTTTCGAGAAAAAATTGGAAAAAGGGTCGAAAATTTTTGAGTCAAGAAAAAGAGATAAGATAAGTGAAATAAATAAGTTTCTTTGAGTCTAGAATAGACACTAAAATCAACAAGTATTTCAAGGAGCACCTCATTGCCAGCCTCTTATTCTGAACACGACTCTACCGCTGCTTGTTGGAATTTTCTAAGTTGTTGGTGGAGGAGTTGCTCATTTTCTGCTCGTTCTGTCTCGGTTCGGTGCCCGGAGAAAGGTAAAATTCCTCATTCCTCCTTATTCCGTTCCAGAATCCACATTCTATATTTGGTTCTGTTTTGCGACCCTTATCTAGTTTTGAATTTCTTCGTTGTTGGGATTTAGTATCTGTAAATATAGGCCTGATTAATTTCTTATGTTCTTGACTTTGAAATAGTCTCTGATTGTTTATCATAGTGTTTTATTACTATCATTATTATTATTTTTTTATTTTTTTTAAAAAGTGAATAAATATCAACTTCATCTCCCGGTTGGTTCTTTTATTTATATATCAAGAAGTATGAATCTTATATAGCTAGCTTGTGGCCTCACTGAATGTTCTATGATATGAAGCATGTTGTAAATACACTAGTCCTTTTGTGGGTGAGGATGTTAATATTTTCTAAGTGTTTGTGTTCATGTGTTTGGCCCGTTTAAAATATATATATATATATAATAAATTGTGGTCCATTGATTATAGTTATTTCAATCCTTGCAAATCTATGATCACTTATCTATTTTACCAAGTTGAAATGCTTAGTTATTAGTTGGAACGTGTTGGCTTATTATTAATAGATTCATGATGCTATTTAGATTTTAGATATAACAATAATGTTAATTTAGTCATTGGGTATACATAAAGAGCGATCATACATGGATACAAATCTTTATGGTTTAATTTTGATTTATTAAATATTGTTGAGAATTTTAGCATTTCTTTCAATCTTCACTAGTCATGTATTTGTTCATTATTAGAAAAATAAGCATGCAATATTTTTGCCTGAAACGTGATGCTCATGTCAACTCATTTTATTGCAAATATTGTTTTATTTTATTTTATTTTATTTTATTTTATTTTCTTTGATTGTTTCATGTTCTCTCTTAACTCTAAATGTGCAAGAGGTGATTATGTTTGTCCTTAGCTTAAGCCGTCATTTTATTCCCTCTCCACATGAGTTTATTTCCTAACATTTTGTTTGAATCCCCATTTTGTTTAAATTTGGCGGGTTTGAGTTAATAATAGACATGATCAATATTTTGGATAATTGGTTTGCTTAGTAGTATAGATAAAGGCTCATCCTTTTGTTGTGAATAAACTAATCCTTCGTCTTTATTTTTTTATTGCATGTGAAACCTCCCGAATCCTTACGGATTATATCTCCTCTCCTTGCATTTTCCTATTGGGCCATTATGGCCCGATATTCATGTTCCCCAAGTCGGTCAGCAAGAAATCGAAATACAGGGTTTCGGAGGGTAAACAAAGCGGGATTTTGAATTTTTGAGCTCTGAAAAGGTCGAAAACAAGCTGCGTACCTGCTGTATACAGCAGTATACGCTGGTATACATGGCAAAATACAATATACAGGTGCAGGAAAGGGGAAATGCCGGTCCAAAACCAGAAATACATGTTGCAGGGGTCTAAAAGGAGTGTGTACATTTGGAATACGACCGGATATACATGAAAACGAGCCTAAATATGGCTCGTATACAGTGATATACGTAAAGGGTATACACAGATTTTTCCAAAGGCAAAACAGGCCCAAAGGCCTTGGACAATTTCAGCAAAGTCCAAGATGTGGGAAATTTGGGCCAGAGGCCCAAATTTGATTATTTCCTTTCCCTCTCTTATTATTTATATCGTATTTATTTGACTAACTTTGCTTATTTTATGGTTTTAATTTAATTAAATTCCCGTAGATAGTCATTTCATTTTCATCATATCCAAATCAAAAGATATATTTGTATTTTATACTTACCTTTATTTCTATTAGTCTTGTCATTTAAAAATCCCCCTTTAACTCATCTCCCCTTAAATAAATAAAAAATAGCAATAAATAAATAAATATTAATAATGATAAAAATAAAATAAAATAATAATAATAATAGTAGTAAGTAAATAAGTTTTAAATAAATGAGTTCTTTTACTTAGTTAAAACTTTAAAATTAGTCAAAATTATTTTAGTCAAATCGCCGGTCAACCGCGAGTTAGCGGGCATTCCGAGGGCCTAACACCTTCTCGGAATGTACATTGAACTTCGAACCATTTTATTTTCAATTGATTTTATCTGTTTAAATCTTTTGAAAACCTTGTATTTTTCTTGATTTTTTTTACTAAAAATTAAGTGGCGACTCTATTCTTTTGAAAATTCGATTTGCTTAAATCATAAGTTTAATCGATTTTTTGAAAACTCAGTCATTTCCCTTTTACATATCTTTTTAAATAAAACAACAATAACCAATGATACAAATGTTTACAAAAAATTAACTACACAACATCTCGAGATCACAAATCAAAATATCGACTACACAACATCTCTCCAGTCTTTTTGTGTGTTGTATCAATGCATAGTAAATACATTGCAAATTTTGGCTCATGTTTCTTCACTTCCAAGTACAAACTAACAAAGATATTCATGATGTATCTTCTTAAAATTTTCGACAATTTTGAATCAAAATTGAAAGGATTTTCGACGAACTGGGAGAAGAATTTGAATCTCAAATTTTTTTCAATAATTTTGAACCAAAACTGAAAGAATCTTCGATGAACTAATAGAAGAATTTTGAATCTCAAAAAAAATTCGACAATTTTGAATAAAATTCGAGAGGATCTTCAAACAATTGTTTAGGGATAAAACAACCCTCGTCTCTGTAATGTATCGAATCTCCCGATTTTCCTCAACTCATCGATTTGTAAGCTTCAACTCACCTCACTTTCTCAGATTCTTGAATTTCTCAACAAAATAAAGATATTCATAATGTAGCAATTCAATTTTTCAATGATTTTGAATCGAAATTGAAAAGATTTTTGACAATTTTGGTTTGAAGTTGTTATGCTTTGGGAGGGATTGATTAGTAGTGACAACAACGTAATTGCGTGATTTATGGACCTGATATTTAATTTTACGTTTTTTTTTTCCTTTTTAAGCTCAACAACAAAGATTTTGTTCCCCTTGTTAGCCCAACATAAGGATTCTTCTTGTATCAGAATTAATGTATATGAATGGTGACTTGTGTATCCGGATGGTGACTTATGTATCCGGAAGGTACAAATTTTAAGGGATTATAATAATTAGAAAAAGAGTAGGGATAAAATGTATTTTATTCTTTACACTATGTGATTTAGGTAAGTTATGCCTTCTTAATTATATGGGTATTCCTCTTTTGAGGCGACAGGCCAAAAACAGTACAGCACAAAACAGAACCAGTTCTGTTAATTTTCGTTGGGTACTAGAGCACTTCTCAAATGTATATATACAATCACTAGAGCAAGTTCCTTCAAATAAGGTTATTTGTATGGTGAGCAAGTAAAGACCAAAACACAAGACAGTACCAGTAATTATCACCATGTGACAGTATCTGGTTAAAAATTAAAAGGGAAAAAAGGAAGAATAAATAAAGGTTATCACCGCACCATAATCCAACTTTGAGACTGCAGTACTGACGAAACAGATCCATGTGGAATATAAGCAAATAAAGACAGACGAGATGAATTTTCAGTCCTAGACCAGTGCGCTTATTCTACCATGTCAGTTTGAAACAAACGGTTGAGACTCGAGATGATGAAGAAGGATTCCCATACTGTCTAGTAGAGCTCTCAACTTCAATTTCTTTAAGGTAGTGCCTCCAGCATTTGATACGTCTCGAGTCACAACACACAGGAGCAATCTCTCTTTGCATTAGTTTCTCCCTCAAAAACTATACCAAAAGCAGAACAAGAATCACAACACTCATATTCTTTGTACTATATATAAATATAATAAACAAAAATCCTATATACAAGCAAAGACGGGAAAATCAAATTCACCTGTACAAAATCCTCATTGTGCTCCCAGGTTCTATCAATTGACAGAGTCTCTGGATGACAAGTCCAAAGCAGACCATCTAACAGAGTTTCAAAATTTAGAGACTCCATAACTTTCTTTATCTTCACAAGCTTGACAACAGATAGTGCGCAGGACAACGCTCCATTCAGTTCTTCCACGATGAACGTATTCTTGATCATCAACGACAAAAAAGATTATCAAATGTCACAAAAACTAAACATTAACAAATTAAAGGGAAAATGGAATTCAGACACTTACAGTCGTTGAATCTATAGACAGAACAAGTAAATTCAGTTGTTTGAATCTAGATAGATATTCCTTCAAATTTTGAAACCAACTCGTGCTTAGATGATCACTGGGCATTAATTTGAGATAACATTCCTGCAGAGAAGATGTTGTCAAAGAGAATATGACAGGCAATTTACTAGCACCATATTCAAAACGGATCAGGTTTGGAGTGTCGATCACAATTTCCATTAGACTCTTGCCAGAACGGAATGTTAACTGTCTAAGCATACAACTCGAAAATTTAAGCGTCATCAACTTGAAACAAAAGTTCAATTCTAATTTCTCAAGAAGTGGCAGTTCAGAAACAAGATTTTCTACCACCAGATCAGTAATCAGCTCATTTGTTATGCTCAATTCTTTCAGAAGCTTGAAAGTAGTCACGTCAAACTTTAACTGCCTGTTACATCCTTTGTAATATAGACTTTGAAGATTAACAGCTTGAATCCTGATACTTCTATATTCCCAAGTTATTTCATTTGCTTGATGTATTGTAAGCTTTATAAGTCTGGGGAGATCAGATATCAATAGATCTTTTACTCCTTCACACCTGATGAGACGTAGATCTTCTACCGCTGGATAAGCAGAACAAATTTCCAAGATCGTCTGTTCTTCCAAAAGAACATCAGTTAGAGATAGCTCTCTCAATTTAGTAAGCTTCATATGATCAACAATTAGAGGGAAGTCTAGCTTAAAACCTCCCAATCTCAGAACAATCAGCGATTTAGCTGTAAATGTTGTACCTGGCAAACTGTACCAGTCTTCTTTATACTGGCGCTTAATATGAACATCTAACTCTTTGATGCAGTTATTGGTAGCCAATCTTATCCATTCGTCGATGCAAGACACATTTCTTAGATATGACAGTTTAAGAAAAAGCCTGAATTTCTCTATTATTGCTTTTTGGACACGGAGATTTACCAATGAACCATCTATAATATTTAGAAAAGCATCTCTTACATCAACTTGTTCCGATTCCTCTTTTTGTGTAGACAGGAGTTTCCATAAGGAAATGTTTTGACAGAAATCAAATGTAAATAGAGGAAGCGAATTCCAGACTTTCAGCCATGTCTTGGAGAGCACACTAGTTTGAGCTGCATCTTTCGCAGGTAGGAAGAATAGTATGTGCAGCAAAATAGGGTCAGGGAGTTGAGAGATTTGATCCATTACTCTACGTTTTCCTCGAGTAGCCATCTTTCCTGAAAATTAATACGGCAAAAACATACATTAAACTACACATTTAGTTGATTTTATTCTGATGTCAAAGTAAGAGGATCAAATGCGTACAAGGGACTGTGCTATTTCAGAAAATTGTATCACTTCACAAAAAAAGAGATATCATATGATCAATAAAGTTGCAAAGTTCTGAACTCAAGCGATGGACAAAAAGAAAGTATTCTACCACTAGCCTCGCTTGTACAATATCACAATATTCAAATCATAAATGAACTAACGTTTCGTTATTTCATAACCACCCTCTACTAATTTAGAAGGCATAAACATCTCATTTAACTTGTCTCATGTAGCGTCTATTTTGGGTGTGCACAAGTAGACACAAAGATGGTACAACTTTGGTAAAATCGTACCAAAATCGCATAACATTTTGTAGTCTAAGATACTGATTTCCTCTTGTGGGTCCATCCCCATTATTCAATTATAAGTGTTTTCAACATTTGCTGCACCTTTGACAATTATTGTTTTTCAACAATTGCTGCATGCAATTGTCAATAGTTGGCAGCAAATGTTGAGAAACATATCGGTGGATGTTGAAAAAATGTTGTTGATTTCTTCTATAAAAGGAGCTTGTTAGCTCATTTGAAATACACCAATTCACAGAGAGAGTAAAATATTTAGAGAGCTGTGAGGTTTTCATAGACTATATAAGAAAATAGTCTGTGAAGAAAAATAGAGTGGGAGCGATATTTTAGTAAGGTTGAAATCAAAAGAGTGTTATTCCTTTTGAGTGTGTAGTAGTCACTTTGAGCATTGTATTCGTGACTATACAGTGTAAAATTCCTTACTATAGTGATATCAGTTGCTCCTCTTGGCCCGTGGTTTTCCCCCCCTTATTTAGAAGGGTTTCCACGTAAAATTCTTGGTGTCATTATTTTCCCATTTTATTTCCATTACTTTTACCATATATATTTTTGTGCTTGTCCGCTTTTTTTCCCAACACCTCTTTGAATTGCAGCAAGCGTTTCCCTAATTTTTAGTTTGAAACTCCAAAAAAGAAACAATAAATTGGACGCAAGCCCCCACCAAAACACAGTTATCGGAGCTAGGACTTGAGCAACAATATAATGGATTGCCGGAAATGGCGTTTTCCGGCTACTAACCCTAAATTATAATGAGAATTTCTGAATCAAATTTTGGAGGGTAAGTACCAGAAAACTGTTCTTCTCAATCAAAGGCCTTAAATAACTTATTATTATCCATTGAAGAGAATATTGTGTAATTTAAAACATGAAGATACGTATCTTTATTTTATGAATCATTAATTTGATTGATTATCCTAAAATACTGAGAGCATGTTTAAAATCATTGTTAGAATTTTTATTTTTATTTTTATTTTTATTTTAAAATCAGATTCTTACCTGTAATCCCACGAATATAGCCAATCTTTGATATTTTTGTGATTGGGTAGCCATTACGAAATCACAATAATTAAAGAGTTAATTAATTTAGTTCAATTGTTAAATGCATTAATCACCTTAAAACTAATTTCAAACGCCATATATATAAAAAGTTGTCACAAAATGGATACACATAGGGAAAAAAATTAAAATGCAGGTACAAATTAAATTACTCTATCAAAATCAGGCTTCACATTTATTAAATAATAAATAATACTCCAACTCATACTTTATCCCGTCTTGAAATTTTAGTAGATCATTTTACTGGTCTAAAAACGAACTGATGGTGTAATTTTTTTGTCCATTATTAAAAGTAAATCTCTTAAAGAATGAGAATTTATGCGGGACGGGCTTGCGGATAGAAAATGAAAAAAAATATTATGCAAGGCGGAGCAGGGAGAATTAAATTTTTGCTAATTAAGCTCAACCCATACCACCCTTCCCCATTGCCTTCCCTGATGTGATGTTCCATTTGTTATAGAATTTTGGGCTTTTAAAGGGTTAAGAATATAGAGTATAGTATTTTTATTTCTTCTATAATAAAAGAATATCAGTGTTGTGATTCTTGTTCTCCTTTTGGTATAGTTTTTGAGGGAGAAACTGATGCAAAGTGAGATAGTTCCTATCTGTTGTGACTCGAGTCGTTCAAATGTTGGAGGCATTTCTAAGGATCAACCAACAAATATGAAAGACCACCCTGACATCAAATTTCATTTTGGGGTTTTTCATCCAATTGACAGGTGCGGGTTATAAGTTTTGTAACGGTGAGGTATAAATGGCCATATAGTATAGCTATTAAACGAAAATTTAGGGATAATTTTGACCCTTCTCCCATGAATAATTCTATATAGCAGTGAGCATTTGGCCACTAAAATAGCTGCTCTCTAACAGAGCGAGAAGAGAAGTGGCAAAACGCACCAAATTTTCGATAATGCAAACATTTGTTCCTTATAAAATATTGTATTGCTATCCTTTGGAATGAGCAAAAGCCACAATGAGTTGACTTGGATAACGTATTGTAATAGGATTACTAACGTATTGTAATAGGATTACTATTTTTATTTTATTTTTCAAGGAATTAAGTATATGATTGTGGCCCAAAAATAATGTTCACTGAAATTAGATTGAACGAGTACAATATTTTTCTTCAAGGCATTATCAGTATCCAGATAAATTAACTATTTAAAATAAATAATAAGAGACGGAGCTAGAATTATAATTTTATGGACTCTGGATTCTATAATGACTGCTTCAAGTGTTCACAATCGGATTCTAAACTTAATATTTTTTACATATTTAACGAATCTCTTAACACAAACATATTATTTGAGCAAACGATATTGAGTTTGGCTGATCAACCCGTATATGGGCATCTAGCGCCACCCTGAATTTAATAACTTAATAATTGAAGAGGTTACGTTGTTCATTCCAAGAATTGGTATATGTACAACACAGGAACAATCAAGATCACATACATAATGATCTATAGTTGAAATGATTTTTAAATTCTATAACCTGCAATTTTTAGTGGAATAATATCTTGGACATAAACTAATAAAACCTATTGTTAAACTTTGTTTAAACGGTTATCATTTCTATAATATATGTGCTTAGTCTACTATTTCACTAGTGGCTCAAATTAAAGCAAGGTAAACTGGTTGAACTATTAAAATTGAAAGCACAATTCATGACACAAGCGTATTAAGATAATATAAGTGTTGCATTCACCTTGCTCAGCAAATGATATCATGATGGCGTTTACCAAATCACTTGGAAACAGCATAGAATATATATAAGGCAAAGCCCCAAAGTTATTCTCACTCAACCAACTAAAAGTCTAAATTTCATGATAACAGATCAATCCAGATGTTGAAAGGCTTCCTCTTTGCTTGGCTTATTGCTTTTTCTTTAGCAACAATAGCTGTTGCACAAAACAATCAAACAGGTACCATGTTAATTCGTAGTATATACATTTAACTTAATTCAATAACTTTGACTCAGATCTTATTGGCAACGGATCTGATCGACCTAGTTACCTTGGTTCAAACTTTGTATTTCTCTTAAATATCCATTGAACACATAAACTTTAGGTTCAGACGCCACCTCTGAAGGGTTGTGGTAAAAAAATGAGTAAATTTAAATTCTAGATCCGTCTCTGCTTCTACACCTAGTAAATATGCGACTACAATATTTGCCCTGTTTAATGCTCATGTTCTGTTTTATGTCCATCTTTTACAGGATTCATAAGCCTAGATTGTGGAATACCAGCACGTTCAAACTATACAGATATAACAACAGGACTATTTTACACTTCAGATGTAGGTTATGTCAGTGGTGGAGTGAAAAATAACATATCATCAACATACCAATCCAATTCCCTAGAAAGACAATTTCTCACAGTTACAAGCTTTCCAACAGGGACCAGAAATTGCTACACTTTAACTCCAGCTCAAGGGAACTCTGGCAGATACTTGATAAGGGCAAGTTTTTTCTACGGAGATTATGATAATGGAAATGACCGATTCCCGTATTTTGATCTTTACATTGAAGAAAAATATTGGATCACAATCTCAATATATAATGCTTCTATACCGATTAGAGAGGAAATAATACACACACCTTCTAATGGCTCTATAAATATTTGCCTTGTCAAGTTAGATACTACAACTCCTTTTATTTCAGCCTTAGAGTTAAGGCCTTTGAATAATACCATATACAAAGCAATACTCAATAGTTCAATGGAACTTTATTACCGTTTGGACTTCGGTTCCTTAACCAATCAATATGTTAGGTACATTTTATTATTTCAATCTATTTTAACTTGAAGATCAAGATGTTCTATTGAATAATTTTAAAAAAAAAATACATAACAGGTACAGCGATGATGCGTGGGATAGAGTTTGGAGACCATATCAATTGCCGAGGACATTAATTATTAATACAACAGAAGAAATACTTCAGAACACTTTCCAATTACCAACGGCAGTAATGAGCACGGCCTTGATACCTGATCCGGAGACCGATTCCAGTCCCGATACGTTGACCTTTTTCTGGTACTCTACTAATGCCACGGATAAGTATTACTTATACTTTCACTTTGCCGAAGTTGTTAAATTATCGGAGACAGAGAAAAGGGAATTCAATATTTATGTCAATGACTACCTATATTATGGACCTATGTCTCCTGCCTATTTGTCCTCCTACACGGTTTACACAGTGTATCCAGGCAGTGGTATCGAGAAGTACGATGTGTTGATTAACAAAACTGAGAGTTCAACTCTTCCGCCACTCATTAATGCTATCGAAATTTTTAGAGAGCTAAAAGGATATAAACCGGATACTTAAAATAGACAACAACACGAAAATGAATCAGCATCTGACTGTGGTGTGGTGTGGAGTGAAATAAAGTGAATTTTTCATCAAGGAAATCGAAGGTCGAGATGGAGAACTTTTGGTTGCGTGCGTTCTTGATGTACATTTTGTTGAATTTTAGTTATGTATGTGGATGAAAGCTAGTTCAATTGACGGGTAATTTTGATCTTTGTTGTACAGTTTGTTGAATTTACATATCTATGTTCCACTCCTTTTATTATTTCTGAGATTCAACAAATTTCAATGCTGAAAAATCGAACATATTGCTCCAGTTGATCCTCCTATATAGTCGACTGTTAAATAAATTTAAAAATAAGTGGGGCTACGTAGCTACATCAAAACAATTGCCAGCCAAATGAAAGCATTTTTAAATAAGATTATCTGGAGACAGTTGCAAAGAATGTTTGACAGTTGACAATCTTTATTAATGAAAATGTCAGCTAAGACAATCAACATATTTTTATACTAACCAAAGTCAATGCCTTTTTTCCATTTCATAAGATCATAGTGTTGGAAATAAATACTTTCCAGAAATGAGCGTGGATCACGTATATGTTGATTTTGATTTTTTCACACACACTAAATCACTTTCTAGACACCGTCCACTTGAAAAAAGAAGAAGAAGAAATAAAGAGCAAGTTGGCAGAGCAAAAAGCCAAGAATACAGATACTTCTTTATTTCTTAACAGAATTTCCTATTTTTAGCCAAAAAAATCAGTAAGCTCTTTTATCCAATCAAAGCAACTTCCTCCACCATCCCCATAAAGAACTTGCAAAAGCAAGCATTGTGTTGTCAAAGTCCAACATCTTTTTTCCTTCACCATCACATCCTATGTCAACACAATTTGTTCACTTCTGGTTTCATTTTTTTTTCTTCTTCTAATTTTGCATGAAACATGCTTGATGCTACTAATAATCTTTGAAATGGGTCATACAGTACGCGATTTGAATTTAGTTGGACTCTAATGTGGGTACCTGACACCGGATGGGAAAATAATAAAAAATTATTAGGAATGATAATTTTGTGTATTTAAACTAGTTTAGAGTAAGTGTGATACTGTGATTCAAATTCACAAGTATTTAGAGGAATATTTCTTTGCATTGGTTTGCTAGCCGACAGCTTCAAATTGAATAAAGTCCAAAATACACGCACGAAACTAAATATATAATGTAGTAAAAACATTAAAACATGATACACTATCAGGTCAGACAAATGATATCTACAAGTAAACCTCCTTAAAATATGAGATTTATGATCTTGATAATAAATCATGTTACCTGTTGTAACATGTATATTTGACCTGATAATATGTTTTTATTTTTACATTAATTAAACTCTTTCCGAGATCGTATATCAACACTTAGGGTGATGGATTGGATTGAGGTTTTGCATAGGAAAATGTGGTTGCAAGGGAAATGGGTAGTTGATTAATGGTATTGAAGATAAAGAAGTAGTAAAGTTATTGTTAATGATAATTGGGTCTATATTAAAGCCAAATGCACCCAAGGCATTCACTTGTGTCCTTAAGAACTTGAGATAGTTTGCAGCCTCATCAAGCATGGATGCAGTGTCCATATTGCTTCCTCCTGGTACCAGCTTCTGCAATATCCTTATTCTTTCGCTTATCTTTTCCCTCCTTCGTCTCGCTGCAGCTGTCTGTGGATCCATTGATATTCTTACGTTCTTCCTCTTCGGCTTCTCTGCCATCACATCTTCCCTGACAGAGCTCACTGGCCTGAATGCTGCTGCGCGATAAATCATTTCCTTCATTTGTGCAATTGCTTCTGAATCAGGATCAACTATTGAACAAGCCGAAGAACTAGCTTGCTGGAAATTGATGTTCGATGAACTTGGAAGCTTGTATTCTGATCTGGATTTCTTGGACTTAGGTTGATCATTTTCCGAAATGAACTGGAATACGTAGTCTCTGCTCGAGGAATCTGTTGTGACATGATATACTTAAGTATTTGAAAGTGTATTATATTCTTCACAAATATTTAAATTTTAAATGAGTCTTGCACTCAAATCTCATAACAAATTAGAACTTTTAACTATTCAATATGGTATCAGAGTTGGTTAGAGGTTTTACACTCGAATCTCACTGTCATCCAAAATTGGTAAACCGACACGTGAGGGGCCTATCGGACGACTTTTCTTGTACGAATGTCAAACTACTTAATTTTTAGTCTGTATTCAGACAAAGACTCAATAAAATTTTATATATAAGAAAATAATATAATAAATCACCATAGTTAATAATTAATTCAAAATATTTATAAAAAATAAAATAAAATTGTTTTACTCTCCTGAATAGTATAGTGTAAGAGAAATTAATGTACTATTTATTTAAGCAATTAAAAGTGTGCCAAGAGTATTCTCACCTGATTCGAGCAGAGCATTGTGGCTTCTCTTGTCCATATTGTAACGATTTCCTTCTGAAGATGTTATAAAATTGTTACACGAGACTGTTTCATCAAGCTCATTAACAGAGTAGTGAATATTATTGTTGTCATTGGCATCAATGGGTTTCGATTTGTAGGCATCAATTGCAGATTCTCCGGATGAAACTGCATTGTTAGTGTGGATATTCCACAAGCTTTCAGAATCATCAGAGAAAGTCACATCATCTAATTTGCCCGATGTGTTGGTGTTGCTTGTATTGGTTGCAGAAAGCAAGCAATCAGGGGATCTGTTTTTTGAGAATAGGCCAATTGAACTAAGATCCGCCATTCGGTCACAAATAGGAACTTGATTATTACCGAAGTAAGGCATATAATTGTTCCGCGGAGGAAAAGAAGAAGATGAACCAATTTTACTTTTAGTACAATCCCCAATTGAACCTGCTCCTGATTTAGCAGCGACAGAGTCTGCAGCCAATCTCGTCGCAGCTTCTTGACGCTGAGAGATATTCCAACTAGAAAGGATGTCGATTGGATCAAATGCAGCTCCAAATTCCTGAAAATTCATGGCTGACGATTCGCCGATATCAACTTGCTTCTGAATTGAAATTAAAGGATTAGCTTTGCTACTGAAAGGGGCAAAACGGTATGAATTGGACAACATTAAGCTTGGCCAAGTGCACAGAATCTGATAAGTGAAAAACTAGCTGCAGAGGATGAAAAATGAAGCAGAGATGTATAAGAATTGCCAAGTTGTTGCTGAAGGAGATGTTCTGACTTAAGCTGCAATATGTTGGTTGGGAAACATGCTTATATAGAAGCTAAAGTTTACTCCTCTGTCCCATTTAAATTTAGTACAACTTACAATTTTTTATGTGAATTAAAATATATACTTTTTAAATTTTAAAAATAAAAAATAACATATTCAAAAATTACGTAAAAATATTATGTAAGTCACAACTTACAATAGTTAACCATTCTAAATATTTAAGATGGATTTCAACTAATTGTGGTCTCCTTTTGACTCTTCAAATAATAACTAGGCCATATAAAAGTGAAAGAGAGCATATGGAATAACATTGTCTTCATCCCATTTTAAATTTCAAATTTAAACTTTAAAATCTATGAATAAGATATTTTCCATTGTAAAGGTAAGTAATTATATTTATTGTAATATACATATCTATAAGTTAATTTCTAATATTTTTATATGTATGACAACCTCACGAATATAACATGGAGCGTCACCCTCGAATGGGCCCTACAGAGCGGAGCTCCAATGTGAGCTCCAGACACCGGCCGAAAAAACAAAAAAAAAGAAAGCCTAAAGTCATAATTATCTTCTTCTTTATTTTCTCATCTTTTTGTGAAGGTATTGAAAATCCAAATAAGGAAATCACGTGAGTATCATTTCACTGATGCAAATACACTTTCCAACTAAATCAAAATACAGCAAATACTTCACATGAGTTGCACATTTTATAGGATAAGCTCAATCATAGCCATAAAACACAATATACCTGTAACAATGAATTATATTATATTATATTATATATAATAGAGTTGTTGGTTTGGTCAAATTTTTTAGAGGTTTTAAGGAGTAGGAGAAATTATATTTCAAAAATTGGAAATAAAAGATTGATAAACTCTACCATAAATAAGCTAGATTGAGTCAAAAGAAAATAAAACTACAATTCTTAAAGACGAGAAAAGGACACATTTGTTTCAGAGGACCACAAATCTACTACGTAAGTATTATTTTATTTGTCTCTTCTTCATTTCAAAGGAATATTATTCTAAAAAATTAATAACTATATTCTATCATTTTGTAATAGAAGTAGGAAATTAAAAATCACGTTTCCTTTTGAAGAAGAACCAAATCATTATTGGAAAGTAATATTCATAACATGCTAGATTTTTTTTCCCAGTACATAAATAACATGCTAGATAAGAGTATAGTATTCTTTGTATTTCATTTTTTTATTTATTTATTCTATTTTTTAGTTTGTTTTTAAAAATAAAATATATTTTTTCTTTTTAATAACTCTTTAATTTCAACTTCTCATATGACATGTTTAAGACCACACAATTATGATATATATTTAATTTAGAAAGAAGTATTGAAACACCTCTACTTGATTAACTAAATTTAGATACACCTCCGATTTGCCACATGATATAGCAAGTGGTCTCAAATTCTTGTACGAGCATGAGACTCTTAATAAAACCGTAAAGGAACTGTTGAAGCACCCCTAAACTTGGTGAGAATTTAGGGGTGTATTTCAGTCATGTTGAAAAATCATTGGTGTATTTAAGTTCAGTTAGTCAAGTAAATGAGTATTCTTAAGACTGTCAATAATTTGGAGATGAAATTAATAATTTGCATCAAATATAAGAGTGTTTTCAATACTTTCATCCTTAATTTAAGACCAATCTTCCTACTTTATTGATTTTCATGTTAAATCAAAACAGATCAAACAAATTAAATCGACGGAGTAATTATTATTATTTGTAAGAGAATTCTTATTCTTAGCTTTGGAGCCTTCCTTGTGGGCCTATAAACTGAGTGGGCC